GGGGTGACACTCGGTTACCTCTCCGGGTGTCACCCAGCCTCGGGACGCCCCTGTCCAACCATCCCCATAATTTAAAATAAATCAAAACTTTAATAGAGAGAGTGGGAGCCCCTTGTAATGGCCACGGTAGCTATGCAGATGTGGAAATTGCAGCTTTGATCCCCACACAGATACCTCCTCATGCATCACTGGCCCCTCCCGTTTAGATTGTAAGCCCTCAGGGGCAGGGCCCTCCTTACCATCTTGTCTTGACTTAAATAATAATTCCCCACTACCAAAGTCTGAGATAGGCATAAGAAATACAGACAAAAGGTTTGTGGCCAACTGTATGATGAAGGATGCAATGAGCATCTGTTCTGCATGACTGCTGCAAGTAAATCAATATAGTGCATGCACCTGTTCTTCCGCTGCTCCCAAGAGGACACCTACTTCCTGCCGGCTCTGATGAAGAGGGTGCAATATCCTTGAAATATGTCGGTCATCATCCTTCATCAATGAAGACCCATTCTGCCAAGTCTTAGTTTCATTGTCCCACTTCTCATGGACATGCTGTGATGAGTAACAATGCTGAACAAGCAGCATGCAATACTTATACTACCAAAGACCACCCGACCAAGGCGTTGACCAATCACATAGATATTCTATTTGTTTAATGCCTCCAACTATTGGCTCTTACAGGCACGGGGCAATCGTAACAGTTACATTATTTTTTTTTTCTCGTCTGGTGATGGACACAGGAAGTCTTTAACCTTTGGGTTATACTGTCACCTACAGCAGGACTGAACACTGGCAAACAAAAAAACCCGTCAAGTATACCCCCTCCTACAACCAGCATGCCTTATGATAATAAACACAGAGGGGTGGGGCCTGTGGGTAGTACAAAAATCCTATTTTTTATGTTATTTTAGGTTCCGTTATGCAGGTTTAGGTTCTGTTATGTCAGCAGCATTCTACAGATATTTCTGTGCCCATATCTATTACTAAAGCATCAATATAACTGCAATGAGTTCCCCGTCACATATATCTGCCTATACTTGTTGGGATGATGTGGATTGTACTTAGCAGAGCTCCTTTATACACAGACCAGGTGATCTCAGTGGCGTCACAAGGGAGGTGCGGGGGGTTAGGTGATCTTACCCATCAGCATATTAATATCAGTGTTGATCTGGGCCAGGAGGGCTTCTCTGCGTTGCTCCGCTCTCTGCTCGTGCTTTCTCTTCAGCAGGAACTGTCCCAGCTTCTCCTGGACGGCAGCATGCAGCTCTTGGCTTTGTTCTGGGGACCTCTGCTGGGCCTGATGGGAACACACAACAAGATTATTACAGTGGCAGTAAAAGCTGAACTCCATTCTGGTAGCCACACACAATTCAATGTTATCATTCAATGATCCATTCCTTCAGATATTCTGAACATATCAAATCATGTATAAGCAGTTTTCTATCATTTTGCATTGATTCTTTTTATTTAGAAGTGAAAAAGAAGGTAAAAATAGGATTTTGTTCTTACCTTAAAATCCTTTTCTTGGAGGACACTGCTCTGAAGAATTCTGAGACATATGCTTATGCTGTTGCCTCCAGGAGAAATGGATCAATGAGACTGTCACAGGTCGGCTCAGTAGATCGGGAAGTGAGCGAACACATACCGGCGTTCGCTCACCTCTCGATCCCGTCACTGCTCTCTGCTGTGACAAGGGAGGGGCTGGATTCCCCCCTCCCCGCCAGCGCTGACTGGCGGAACGGACGGGGGAGGGGGCGGGCACAGCTGGCTCTGCCTCTAGATAGGCAGAGCCAGCTGTCACTCACGCAGCTGGGTGGATCCAGACATAATTGTCGGGATCCGCTCCGGCTGCGGCGGTCTCAGTATACCGCGAGCTGTAGCTCCCTATATACTGAGCTTAGGGTGACGGGAGGACGCTAGTTTGTGTCCTCCTGTTACCCTAAGGAGAACTATGGGGAAAAGCCCTGACCCCATAGTTCTCCTTTAAGTGACACGGCAATGCGATTGCTTTTCACAGCTGAGAAAATGAAACGGTTCCAGAAGCTCAGCGTGCTGTTATGATTCCATTACAGCAAAAGACTATTGCTTCATTTCCTTGATGGATCGTTCCAATTAACAGCACGGAAAACAAATGAATCCCATACGACAGCTGCGAGCCTGCAAATGAGAAGCCACAATACAGCCAACCATGAATCTTCCGGGTATACACGTCCGTCACATGTCATAACGCTGGCCACACACTTGCCAATTTTGTATCAGTTGTTTAGATTGTATCAGATATATTAGTTGATCATTTTGAATTGTGTTTGGAAACTACAACCTTTTGTAAAAAACAAAAAAACTAATTTAGCTCCCCAACCATTATTGGCTGCAGTTCTTATTTCCCAGACTTTGGCTACTAAGACAAAATCTTCAAGTACAGAACAGGCGACTGCTGGAGCTGATCCACATTTATTAATTGTGTGGAACAGATGATGGTTGCTTCTCATTTTATCTGTGATGCGTTTCTCGATGCTTGTCATCTGTTGTCTTATGCGTCTGTCTCTTCCATTCCGATACACAGAGCTATCTGGTTTAAAGGGCTGGTCAGCTGAACCCCAATGCAAAAAGGGGCTTTTGCATTTACCCTACGTTGTAATGGATGTGATTAAGTGACTATGATAAAATGCCTATTTCAATATATTGTAATATATATACATGTTATTGCTCCTGTTCATATTAATCCTTACTCAAAATGGCTGCCTAGTTAGTTGCTCAACTTAGAACACCCCCCCTATGAGAAGTACCCAGTAGAAATAGAAACCAAGATGGTGCCTCCAGGAGAAACAACACCCAAGACGAGACGTCAGCATCCTGGAAGGAGGTTTCGCTTTAATGAATCAGTCCAATTATAACCTAGAAAGCTATCGCAAACGCTATGTTTACATATACACTATCAGCTGCCTATATAAAACACAACAATGCGGAACAAATTTGACACTCGGTGTCAGCGTGTTTTATTTCTTCACTGATAATAACACCCCCCCCCCCCCCCCCCCCCCTCCTATGAGAAGTACGCACTAGAAATAGAAACCAAGATGGCGCCTCCAGGAGAAACTGCACCCAAGACGAGGACATCAGCACCCTGGAAGGAGGTTACGCTTTAATGAATCAGTCCAATTATAACCTAGAAAGCTATCGCAAATGCTATGTTTACATATACACTATCAGCTGCCTATATACGACACAACAATGCGAAACAATAAAGAAGAAGTATCTTTACTCTGACTCTCGGTGTCAGCGTGTTTTATTTCTTCACTGATAGTGTGCACACTTTGTACTGAATTAGGCCCAGGGACAGATATATGTCGGATTCTTGATGTCCGTGTCCACAACAACGTGAGAGGTCCTCTTTGAAGCTACCTTGGATTAGCTTATTAAAACAGCTACGGGGTAACACTTACAGGGTTATTCGCTAAAGGGTGAAGGGTTTGGAGAAGGCCGGAGAAGTTAACAATCTAGGACAAAATGGCTGATTTAAAAAAAATTCTCCAATTCAGTTCACTTTCCAGTTCAGCGATGTTGTCCTAGATTGTTCGCTTCTCCTCCCTTATCCAAACTCTTCACCCTTTAGTGAATAACCGTTACTTTAGATGTGGAAAAATAGGGGAGCAGTGTCGTAAGCTTTCTCCTTCTTTTCTGTCTTTTATTCGGTTCTTTAGTTTCCAGTTTCAAAAGACATCTTACGCTTCCAAACCTATGGACCCTCTAGACCAGTGGTGGCGAACCTTGGCACTCCAGCTGTGCCAAAACTACAAATCCAAACATGCATCTGCCTCTGGGTGTTATGTCTGTGGCTGTCAGAGTCTTGCAATGCCTCATGGGACTTGTAGTTCCAAAACAGCTGGAGTGCCAAGGTTCGCCACCACTGCTCTAGACCCTTGGTTCTCAACTGGTGGGCAGTGACCCAAAAGTGGGTTGTGACCCCATGTACAGTGGGTCCCGCATGCCTTCCACTTTTCTAGGCGAGAGGCTCCTCAGCCTCCCCCTAGCACAGCACTGTCAGTTCCCGCGCCAAGCAGCCATTCATAATATGCTGCCCGGTGCGGATTGTCACCTTGAGGTGGGGTGGGCTGGAGCTATGGCCATGAGGGAGCTCCATCCATACATTCATTGCTCACTGCTCCCTCACGTGCCCTGTAGAGGTGCCTGGACTGGGGTGACATCACATTCTGGCTCCCGGCACCTCTACAGGGCCCGCAGACATCCTGCTGTACAAGCATTGCATGTATGGATGGAGCTCTGTCACAGCACAGCAGCAACTTAATGACCAAGGAGAAATGTGGGTCCTGAGGTTACACAGGTTGAGAACCACTGCCCTAGACGTCCTTGGCAATTAAAAAGTCCGCTTTAGCATGAAGGTCTGCTCCCGCCTTTTCTATTTCTGATGGGGGGACAACAGATGGAATTTGTCTAAGTGGCTTTTTCTTTTTTTTTGCCTTGTGTCCATTTCTCATAGAGCCAGCAGCGTAAGCTACGTTTAAGAATTCCTCAGAGCTGTGTCCTTAAAAGGAGAACTATGAGGGGGGGTGATTTTCACTCACCTCATAGTTCTAGCCGACCTGTGACAATGAGACTGTCACAGGTCGGCTCAGTAGATTCTGTCCACCCCAAGCTTCTTTTATCCAATGACCCCTATACCCTAAATGCCACGGAAACCCTGACTTAGACCTTGACCACTCAAACCTCTGCTTCCTCCATTGAGCTTGTCAAATGCATATCAACTATGTTTATAAGCATGCGTCACTGTGCTAATTGTTCAATGTTACATCCTCTTCTGATGTCTGATGTACAGGTGTATTAATGTATCCCCTAAAAATCCTCATTAAAAACAATTGAAAAAAAGATTGAGATCTAACCGGGTGGAGCTGGAGATGAGTGTCCACTTTCTGCTGGAGCCGCTGTCGCTGCTCATCACTCAGATCCTGCTGCTTTTTCCAAGGAGATAACGATTCCCGCAGTCGTCTCCGTCTATTTAGGAACCTCAGGGCCTGAAAAAGGAGGAAAGACACATTGTGTAAACTCAGGAAGAGTTCTGACATACAGAGGCTGTTCTAGGATTGTGCTGGTTCTGGTTCTCACTGGCTGCTAATCCTTATGTACCGTATTTTGAGGTCCATAAGACGCACCGGACCATAGGACGCAGGGAGGTCCGGCGCGCCTTATGGAGCACTCGACAAGACTGTAGCTTCTGTCACAGCTTCTATAACAGAAGCTGTGACAGAAGCTGCAGTTAGTGACCGCTGAGACAGGTGGCGCTGTGATTACAGCACCACGGTCTCAGTGATCACACAGAGCAGACGAAGAAAGTCCGTTCTTCGTCTGCTCTATGGTGATCTCCATCGCCGCCGCTGCTCGGCTTTAATGCGAGTGATCTCATTAGATCACTCGCATTAAACGAGCAGTGGCTCTTACTACTCGCCCGGCGCCAGAAACTGCATGTCTCGGGCGTTGGGATTCACTCCATAAGACGCAGGCACATTTTCCCCCTCCTTTTGGGGGGAAAAAAGTGCGTCTTATGGGACGAAAAATACGGTATGTCTGCTAAGCACAGAGCTCCCACAGCACAAACCAGATTGAAAATTGCTCGTCAAATATCGAAACTCCTCAGCACTTCTGGTGTATATAAGCAAAGTTTTGGAGCACACGGCCCCTTTCATCAGGCAAACAGTGACATAGTGCTGTTGCCTTGGCTACAGTAAACATCCTGCTGTTGGTTTCATAATGTAAATACTGTCAATTATTGATATTAGGATAGGCCAGCTCCTGTCTGTAGTTAATATTATATCTCTATGCATTGCCGGATTTCCCACAAGGCCAACCAAGGCCCGGCCTTGGGGCAGCAGGAAGTAGAGGGGCGGCAGGGGTTTTGGAATTTCTATCACATGCAGTTCCGGGCGGGTAGCTGTTTTCTACATTTAGCCCTGCTTTGGGCAAGCAGAGCTAAATGTACAGCGGGGAAGCCACCGCTTGTTTTTTACAAGTCATCTCAGCGATGTCGCAGAGATCACTTGTATGCAGCCTGCATACAGGGGGGGCGCATTGAGGAACCTGGCATTAGGGCAGCAGAGAGAGTAAATCTGGTCCTGCCTCTACGGTCTGAGACCCCAATGGTGCCCACTGGCCCATGTGTGAGATGAGGCTTTTTATGGTGATCACTTACTGGGTAAGTTATATTATGAGGAAGTGGTCATCATGTGCAATGGGAAGAAGGATTCCTCTTCACCTCTTCTCTTGTGTCCCAGAGACACAACAGGAAATGAGAGGAAGCATCTCCAAAGTAAATGGAATTCTCAACTTGCACCAATCCTTGGAGAGTTGGAGAAGTTCACTCATTTCCTGTTGTGTCTTTAGGACAGGAAGTGAAGGGAAATCTCTCCAGCAAAAAACAAAAACAAGTGATGCAGTAGAGAAGTGTTAAAACCCCTATATAAAACCTAAAAAAAGACTCCCAAAAAACAAAGTATGGGCTATGCATACACTTTAACTTTGCTCAGCCAGCCAACTTGGTCTGTCATAGGAACAGGTGTCCCTCACCTATGCACATTTCGTGACACCAAGGACGGGATTATAGAGCAAGAACGGGGGGAGGGTTTTCCACAATTTTCACACCTTCCATGTGTCCTGTTTTTGGACAACCAACATGTACACATTCAATGGTGGTTGGTGAAGGTGTTGGGGTTACCTGCGTGGATATAGATGTTGAGGTATGTTCCTGACACTCATCAGACCTGGAGAAGTATCTTGAAGAAGCTATAAAACATCTTCAACATTACAATTGCGGTACTTACAGCTCTCTGAATGGTGACGGCCGCCTTGAATTGTTTCAGGGTCTGTTTTTCGAGGTGAAAGTGTCTCCTGGCTTTATATCCCCTCCATTGTTTCTGAACGATCAGTGCAGACCTCTCCTGGATCTCCTGCATGTGCTTCTCCATTTGTCCTGCAGAATACAAAATGATTGTACATGACTGCAGGGCACCCCGGGTGCGTGGATTGGAAGAATCCTAACAGATATCACTTTTGTAATCTGGTGAACTACAAATACCAGATATGCGCACAGGAAGTACTTCTTTTGCATATTCTGCAGGTTTGGAGAACTTGATATCCTCCAGCTGAGACGCTGGCTACTATTCATCTGCAGGGGCAATTTTATAGTTGTGTATCAGAGAGCAGTGGGGGTCAGTGATTTCCTGTATCGGGGAGCAGTGGGGGTCAGTGATTTCCTGTATCGGGGAGCAGTGGGGGTCAGTGATTTCCTGTATCGGGGAGCAGTGGGGGTCAGTGATTTCCTGTATCGGGGAGCAGTGGGGGTCAGTGATTTCCTGTATCGGGGAGCAGTGGGGGTCAGTGATTTCCTGTATCGGGGAGCAGTGGGGGTCAGTGATTTCCTGTATCGGGGAGCAGTGATTTCCTGCATCGGGGAGCAGTGATTTCCTGCATCGGGGAGCAGTGATTTCCTGCATCGGGGAGCAGTGATTTCCTGCATCGGGGAGCAGTGATTTCCTGCATCGGGGAGCAGTGATTTCCTGCATCGGGGAGCAGTGATTTCCTGTATCGGGTAGCAGTGGGGGTCCGTGATTTCCTGTATCGGGGAGCAGTGATTTCCTGTATCGGGGAACAGTGGGGGTCCATAATTACCTGTATTATTGAGCTGTGGGGGTCAAT